ACCATCTTAAGCTGGTAAATAAAAGGGAGGAAGACGTGGGGTTGGAAGACATACACCACACGCACGCACACTTATTACAATTGTGCCCTCGCTCGGAGGGTCCGAATAAATAATACAAGCCGCCTAATTAACTAGCTAACAAGTTACTTAATTATTACAAAACCCTATGAATAACTAGTTACAACTAATTATTACATAACTTAATTAATTAACAAATTAATTATTACAAATAACAAATGCTAACTAACTAGTAAGCAGTAAAAGAGAATTGCTCCAGCTCTGTTTGAAAAAGAGGAGGGTATGCATGCTCGCTTCGGTTCCTTGCCTCGAAATGCCTTCCGGTTGCTCTTTAGAGGCTCTGTTTGTAGGGTGTCTTCCAGTGTTTGTTGCTGCAACTTACCAAAACACTGCTGGGGAATTCACCAGTGGCCTGCCGGCCATGAAAGGAGAGATGCCGGCCAACAACAGGGCACTGCCGGCCAAGGGTGTGACACTGCCGGCCATCAGTGGTGCACTGCTGGCCACTGGTGTGCTGTGACACCAAACTGCAACAAAGCACAAAATAGAGAAATGAGAGGGTCTCCCAAGGGTATATACACACTATGCCACCCCAAATCACCTCAAAACATCAAGGGGGAGGCCTAGTCGGATCCACAACCATCAATCACGCATCCCGATGCATGATGGCCAAAGATCCAACTTGTGCAAATCAATATGAAAATGAATGCACAAATAAAGCAAGTAAAGCCTAGAACTCTATCATGAATCATCAAGAGCTTCGGCGACCGAGAATTGAGACACGTTCCATCACTCGGAATATAAAACGCCCCTCGTTCCTCGTGTTCGGATTAACACTTAATCCAAAAAATGCAACGCGTAAGGATGGCAAACATGCAATGTGAATAACCTAACAAGGCTAATGACATGCAACAAGCACATAGGCATGATGTGAGGTGACAACCTTGAACAACATGGCAAAATGCAACATGGATATGCAAACATGCAAGGCACGCAAAGGTGGACAAGTATGCAACAACATACAAGATGAAACAAGCATGCGACAACATGGTAAGATGGGCTTACACCAAAGATAGACAGCTCTCAAATAGGTCCAAATCAGTAGCCATAAGTGATGAATTGATGGCATGAAAAGCATGAAATGGCAAGGCAAACATGTATGCCAAGTGGCTCAAGTATTAAGGCACAAAGAGGACAACTCTTAAGCACACTTAAGGAGCAACAAACATAGATGTATGACAATGAGGTAAGCTCTGAAATTTCATGTAAAGTGATGCCAAATCAAATCAACCATACAAGCATAGCATGTCATGATGCTCAAAGCTCAAGGTAAGCAAAGGGACTTAAGCCACGGCCATACAAGGCAAGCCCCAAGGGGCCAAGGGGACCTAAAACAGTCCTAGGGTAGGTCCAAACAAGACCAAAACTAAGCTCAAAGCTAACCAACAAAGGCTAGAACACAAAGCCAAAAACATGGAGCATGCAAGGCTTTAAAGAGGCAATGCACTACACCTATTGAAACCAAACATGGCATGACTTGGGCGACATAAAACAGAGTTACATCATGGTATAATAGGACCCAAAATGCATTGAAATGATGAGCCAAAGGCTTAGGCTTAATGGCATGCACAAAAGCTCATTCTTGAGGCATATAGCACAAGCTCCATAAAGCATTCAAGGCATGTCAAATGCAAGTGTATAATAACATTTTATGGATTGAAATAGCATATGGAATGAGGGCAAAGCATGTAAACATCACATGTATGGCATGGTAGGGGCCTCAAAACCCAAGACTAGCCTAAGCATTTACACTATAGCTATACAAAGCACGAGTGATATGGCCATGGCAGCCCAAAATAGTCCTAGAACACTTCAAAATAAGCATAAAATCAAGTTTGAGTAAAGCCAAAATATGCTAGTATGATGAGTCAAAACATCATGCACAAATGGCTAGTAAACAATATTTGTTCTACACCTATATGGAGCATGCAAAGGATGATCGAACCAACTATGGATAGGGTCATAACATGCCAAATGATGACCAAATATATGCTGAAATGTAAACCAAACAAGCTAAAATGACATGGCATGGCATGGATCATATGAAGCTAGTTTAGGAGATTCACACTACAAGTGCATCATGCAAGCACGGAGTAACAAAACCAACCCAAAACAGGTTCATGGCATGGTAAAACATCACCAAAAATCCACTGAAATAGACTCAACACAAGCTAAGCACACATGCTACTTTGATGAGCTATGGATGGAGTTACACTACACATACTATATGCATGCAAAATATGACCAAACCAGCCATGGACAGGGCCAAGGCAGGTCCTAAAAGTCACAAAAATAGGCCTGAACCAAGCCTCAAAAATACATAGAAGGATGGTCCTTTGGAACGCCAAAAATGAAAGCAAAGAGGAACCAAAAGAGAGGGGGACACCCCCTCTGATTAAGGACCTCAAAACCACACCTTTACCACTGAAAATTCGCTGGATTTTAGTGGCAGGAAGGCCAAACCAAGACTAGCTCGGAGGTTCCAAGATATGGCTTAAAACAAAGCCAAACAAAGCATGCAAGAGGGCTACACACCCTTAACAGTAAAATGACCTTAAACAAACTTAAAAAGGACTTAAATACAAGACTTTTTTCAGTTATAAGCAAAGCCTAAATCAATATGCAAAGAGGGCTAAAGCAAGGTACAAGAAAGTGTAAAAATGGGGAAAATACTTACCCTTGAAGACCCTCTTCGAAACCAGCAACTTCAAGGGGTAGAAACTCACTTTCAGATCTCAAGAAGACCTCCCAAGAAGCTTTGTCCAATGGTGGTGGTGTATATCTAGGTGTTGTAATGTAAAAGTGCAAGAAAATCCAACTCCAAAGCACAAGACACAAACAATATAGAGAGAAAGAGAGGTTTTTTCTTCCAAAGTTGCAGAACCCCTGGCAAAGAGGGAGGTCTCTTGCTTAAATAGAGGAATGCAAAGCCAAAGCTTCTTGAAGAAGCTTTACAAGGGCTTCATCCCTCCATACACGTGTATAGAGGGGAGCAAACAAAAAACCAGCTGGCTCAATAGATCTGGAGGAAAACCAGCTGAGACAAGGGGGGTGCCGGCCATCATCAATGGCCAGCAGTGGCTCACTGATGGCCAGCTGGAACAAGGAAATGGCCGGCAGTTCCATGCCATGGTCGGCAGTGCACCAAGAAGGTCACTTTGAAAGGACCTAGTCAAGGTCCAAAAAAATGCAGAAAGGATACAGGGTCCGGGAAGCTCGAACCGGTGACGTTCTGCCGCGACAGTCGAGTACTCAGCGAGCAATCAAACTAGTTGTTGGGTGTACCTGCAAGCACAACCAAGTCTCAAGGACGGTCAAAAATGGGGTGTCTATAGTTGCCCCTCTTTGACAGAACTCGACAGTCACAAAGTCACGGGAGTGAGTGTCAAAGCCCAGAGATGACCCATTTTTGACAAGGTCGAAGACTCAGACAATCAATCAATATAGGCATGTGGAGATATGCCCGAAGGCTGGGGCATAACGCAAATGGTATGCAAGATGCAATAGCATGACTTATAGTTATGCCAAGAATGCTGTAATGAAGCAAATCATGCAACAATTTTAAGCAGGTGAACAACAGTCCTACATATTCCGACAGGAAGGATGTAAGAAAATTATGCAAGTCTTACCACGTTTCACGCGGAGTGCATATAATACCTGTGTGGCTCGTCTAGTCGTGCCAGCTTCAAATGAACCGTACATACAATATCGTGCCTGAAAGAGAAACAAAACTTAACAGGTACAATTTTGTTAGAAGTGTGCATAACAATGCAATGGAAAGTGCGTAAAATGAAAAAAAATAAAAAATAGAAAACAAAAAAATTGGAATTTTTTTTTAGTCATTAGTGAACTTTTTTTAAAAAATTTATTCATAAATATTATTACATTATAGATGCATCTAGATTAGATGTACCTAAAAAAATAAAAATAAATTTAACTAAAAGAAGAAAAAAGTTTACTAAAGACGAAAAAAATAAAAATATACTGACTCAAACACCTGTATTGTCAATTCTGAAATGAAAAAACTTTTTTTGTCTTCAATGAAAATATACTAATTCAAATACCTGTATATATATTGTTTAATTTTATTTTTAGATAGAAAAATACTGTGAACCCCACGACCCCAATGAATTGTAATTGGTCAAAAATTTTTTTTTCTTCTTCAATTACTAACCTCCATATATGTGTAGGATAGTGCTGTGTGGGATAGTGGGTGGGGATCTGTTTTAGATAGACGCTATACTTTTTAGGAGTAAAAAAAAAAAAATGAGGTCATAAATTTCAAGCGCAACATATGCATGACACATTGGGATTCACTTTTTAAATTACAGCAATGCTAGGTATCATGAAAATTTTGTCATGAAAATAATCATGAAAGCTTGGTGACCCTTGGATTACACTTAGAATAAAACACCACACACTAATCAAGATAATCCAAGGATCATAAATTTTTCATGATCATTTTCATAACAAAATTTTCATGATCCCTAACTTTTCCCTTTAAATTATTGACTGAGGATATAATTTGAATTGTTGATATGTTCAACAAATAAAATGCTGACATCACGTGTTTATTGGGTGTCCTCTCTGTAGATTCTGTCAATATTTATCCACAGTTGACCGTCACACACTACAGGGAAAAAGGGTTACGGTGGCGTTTTTTTAACGACATTTTTTTAAACGTCACTGTTATTAGCATTTAGCGGCGTTTTATAAACGCCACATATTCTTTTAAGCAAAACGGCACCGTTTTATGATAGGAGGCGTTGAAAAACGCCTCCGAATGTGGTGTACCTCACGCGCCTTCCTTATTTTGTATCTGGCCCTCTCTCAACCCATACGAGTAATCTGAGCCCTCTCTCTCTCTCTCTCTCTCTCTCTCTCTCAACCCTCTCTAAGCTCCATCGATTCAGATATTCGAAGCTCCATCGAAGCTCCAGATCGAACCGATTTCGAAGCTCCATCGAAGATTCAGAGATTCAGTGATTTCCATCGAAGATTCAGAATTTCGAAGCTCCAGATCGAACCAATTTCGAAGCTCCGTCGAAGATTCAGTGATTTCCATCAAAGATTCAGATATTCGAAGCTCCATCGAAGCTCCAGATCGAACCGATTTCGAAGCTCCAGATCTGAACTTTGACCCCTCGATTACTCGCATTTCAAGCTTAAATCGGTACTCTCTCTCTCTCTCTACATGAAGCTACATAAATAGAAAGTTTCATTTTCAAGATTTCATAGAAATCATCTACATGAAGCTAATATAAACATGATGGAAAATTTAGAGTTATAATTTATGCCTCTGTTTCTGTGTGCTGCTCTGTTCTGCTGTATATGTGCCTCTGTATCTATGTGCATGGTGAAAATAGTGAAAAGGAACCATTATCTGGAACTGTTCCTGCGAGACGGTTGTTTGATAGATCCCTGCATAACAATGCAATACAAGAACATCACATATTTATATATGCTATATATACATATTTATATATGTTTTTTTTTTCCTTCATTTTTTATGTCTAGTCCAGGCATGAACTTGATAACTACAATTATTGGGTTTGGAATGATTGCCACTTTCATTGTGTTTGTCTACTCCAGACTGATCTTTGGGAGGATTAGAGGCGTTGGCTCAAGGCAAATGTCTGAGATTGAGTCTAGGATTGATCTTGAACAGGTAGATTTGTTTCTCCACACTGAATCTGACTCTCCATATGGATATGTGGTTTATGGTGTTGGTCATATTTGTTTTATCTGTTTCTATTTGATTAAAGTTCCCAATGATCAGTAAGTCTCAAACATTATAATTTATATGTTTATTAGGCTTCAATTGTAGATTAACACTTCAATAGGCTTTTCTCTTTGCATTGGATAGAAGGTTATGATTTTTCTTGATGGATAGCAAAGACCACGTGTTCACTTTAGTTTGTTTTTTTTATGCATATGTCATTGTCGATGGATTAGTTGGTTTGTAGCTTGGTCATCAAGATGAGAACAGTGAGATATATAAAAGCATTATGCTAAACTGTGTCAAGTATTTAAATAAATCTTTTTCTGTTGATCCTCATTATTTTTATTATTATTATTATTGTTGTTATTGTTAATTTTACTACCATGGTGCACTATATTTGTATCTTTGAAATTATCTATTGATAGAAGAATTAGAGATTTTGTTCTTGGCTTCTCAAAATTTGAAAAAGCACACTTCTATACAAAATTAGAGATTCATTTTTGTTCCTTTACTCTTTCTAGTCCTTGTATGGAAAACTCTTCTCTTTCATCAGATTGAGCAGCAGCAATGGCGAATCGATTTATCTAGGGTTTCGAGTGCGGTGTTAGTGTCTTTGATCATGTACGGGAAAAGCAATTGGCATTGGATGTGGATCGTTGGAAATAGTGACTAGAACTCCATCAGCTTTGAAAGAAAGGAAGAGTAAAACCATTTGGAACCCAGGGAATTTCTCCTCAATAGTTTTCTGCTTACGTTGTTTTTTTTTTTCAATTTTTATGTTTGCTTGTTTTTCTCTGTGCTTTCTGTCTAACAAAATATTCAAATGGTATGCTAATGCGTGATTTATTTGGCATTTGTAATGTTAGTGTAGTCATATTTCCTTTGTTTATGCAGGCTGCTAATATAGAAGCTGAAGGCTCTGGAATTCCTGATTGTGAATACCAATTGACAAAGCATGAAGTTTCCTGTCTAGGGCATGGAAAATATAGTGGTACGCATGATATATTATCACTTGCTTATGCCTTGAGGCAATACAATTTCTTTTATCTAGTTAAACTTTATTTCTAAATAAGGATTCAATTGTCCTTCTAGATTTGCTACCAGTTTAGATTTTGTGGGTTGAGCCTGTCAATCTCATTGGGGTGTAACATAATAATTATTTTGGTTAAACTAGGTATCTTGCAGCTGGTTTTCTGTATTCTCTTTGGTCTTTCATCTTCATCATTTGTGAACTTCTGCCTCCCTGCCTCTCCTTCCCCTTATTTCTCGTGCACTACATTCAAGGCCAACATCAATCTTTTGTGCCAACTTTTGGTCCATGTGAAGTGCCCTTGGAGAGAAATAAGCCGGTTTAAATATTTTAGAGAAGATTCAAAGGTATAAAATTGTGCCATTCTTAGTCACTTGCATAAGTTGAAGACATGGAAAACCACAATAAGCTAGACGTACTTTAGTTCAGAGGAACATGAACAAAGTTGTCATAGCAATGGCATAGAGTATATGTGCAGTGTATGTGTGTATGTGTATAAATACAAGTATATTCTAAAATATATACTGAAGAAATTTAGAAATATACATGAAACATGTATATTTTTTGGTCATTGTCATGAATTACCTACAAAGTTGTTCATGTCCATTTTCTTATCTGTAAACAACCATATAATGCGTCTAGTTTCATTTCTTCTAGCATTTGTTCTAATTTTCTTAACATCTTGTTTTTTGTGGTTCAGAATGCAGCACCACTGAATCATCTGATGATATTGAGAAACAAGAGCTTGAAGACGTCTCAGATGAAGATGATACCTCCTATTTTGACACAATAGAGAATTTTTCTGAAACAACTCTTAGTTGTGGGTCTGTTGCTGGAGTTACAGATAACATCAGTAAGTGTATGGGACCTGAAAAGCAATTTGATGATAGGAAAAATTTGAATGCTCAGAAGGAAGCTATTAGCTCCACATATCCACAAATTGAAAGGCGAAAGAAGCTTCCAGATCCGGTTGAAAAGGAGAAAGGGGTCAGTCTTTGGTCCATGATCAAAGACAATGTAGGAAAAGATCTAACGCGAGTTTGTCTCCCTGTGTACTTCAATGAGCCAATATCATCTTTACAAAAGTGTTTTGAGGATTTGGAGTATTCTTATCTGTTGGATCGTGCATATGAGCATGGAAAAGCGGTATGATTATATGTTCGTTACCTCTTATTGTCTTTGCTTAGGGGGTAGTGTATACTAGTGTCTGTAAATTGTCTTTTGTTTCATTTCATTGCATTGTCTTTTCCTCTATTAGATGTTTGAAGTGGGTTAGTTTGGTTATGCATTGGTTTAATATTACTAATGTATTCCATTATGTATATGCATAAGAGATTTTTAAAACATTCTGAGGAAATTGAATGAGTCCATCGTGTTTCCCACTGGGCCCTGGAAGAGTCTTTTTGTTCTTGATATATGAATTTGGTTTTCTTCTCTTTTCTGTTTTTTTTTTCTTTCCCTCTTCTTGTTAATCTTTAGGACTCCATTGAGATTCCAAAAACATGATCTGATTTCTATCGCTCTTTAGCCATCACAGATATATTTATGGATTTGTGTTACTTACCTTCTGCATGTTAAATTAACCAGATACTTCATAAATCTGCATGGGAGATGTTATCTTGTTTGTTTTGATGGCTCTCAATTATAATCTTGGAGACAACAAGATCAAATGTACAATAGTGGTGCCCCTATAGTAAGAACAGGCTCATCTAAAAAAGTTAAGAATGTCCACACTCAAGAATGAAGTGTAGTTTGAACTGTTCTGAGGTCCCCTCAATGGGATGAAGGATTATATCCGCCTCATTACAAAGATTACTAGATTCTTCATTCAAATTATAAAACATGTTTCTGAGGCTGTGAGCCATTGGCTCCTTAACAGTCCTCTCAAATGAACCATTCTGGATGGTTGAAGGTCAAGAACTTCAGCATCTAAAATCAGTGAGTGCGAGATAGGTTTGTGCATATAGAAATTGCTCATTCATTTCCTATCAACGTAGCAGTGTTCACTTTATAAGTTAACAGTGAAGCCATTTTTTGCTGTTCTATTAATACAAGTTTGTTTAGTATTATGCTAGACTGATTAATCTAATGAATTTATAGCATTATGAGAAAAAACTGAACTAGCTATCTTTATTACTTAGTACAACAGCCGCCAAATTGTTATTTTTTCATTTATGCATATAACAGACACCTTTTTTATATATATTTTTATTTGATGATAAGTTATCACTGTCTTTTTTTTGTAGGAAGTAGTTTTGTTTTTCCTTGTTTACAGGTTTATTTGTGGAACACCTTTGAGATCTAGTTTTTTAATGGCTCTTTTACTGGCATGATTAATTCGGTTCAGATATGTTTTCAACATAAAAAAAAAAGAATATTTTCAAATGTTTTGGTGTTTAACATTTTCTTGTGCTATTGGGTTATGCATCTAGGGAAATGGTCTCCTGCGAAATGATTGTGTAATGAATGATCAGACTAGTCGTTTGGCCCATCGCAGCCCCATTATGTACAGTTTCTGCTCGTGAGAAATAAAAGTGATGCTTGGCTCTGAAGCCTATCCCACAACTCTCTGTCATGGCTTGAAACATGCTGCTAAGAGGTTCATTCTTCACATTATGGCACAACTTAGAACACTTTTAGGACTATGTTTGGATTAAGGATTTGAGAATTGATATCCTTCCTATTTTCTTTCCTTTTGCATGTCATTCCTCAAATCTTTAATCCAAACACCTCAGACAATTTTCCCAGAAAAACATCATATGTGAATTGAATTTATTATGTGTGAGTTACACTATACAAATTTAAATCTATGCTATATATTAAAATTTTACAAACTTTTTAAAAATAAAAATATGAGTACATAGCACTAGTTAAAAAAAAAATATTTCTGAATCATGTGCATTCCACTATGATGAGATCGTCCTCTTTTAATTTGGACTTTGGTGGATTGAACATTCAAATTATCCATATTATATATAAGGAAAATTATATAAATAGAAGTTGCTTTAGTAAATTACCTATTACAATGAGATGGTTGGAAAGCAACCCCATTTTGGCAGATTTCTTTCCATGAATTGGGAATTGGGTGGCATCCCCTCTTGATGCTTTCTTAATATACTTCCGGGAAATGAATAAATTGAAATTTATTTCCAGATATGTACTGTAGTTACATGGGCATTTTGGCTGCATAGAATTTAATTATGCTTAATATTATTGAAATTCAAGAAAGTAAACCTTTGAAGTTCTGAGAGATATTCATGAACACATGGATGGGCACATAGAAGTCACAGATGAGGTTTGATGTCACTCACATATCCCCATTTCATCATAATTAGAGGATTGTGACCATCTTGATGCATCATTTCTTGCAGAGCACTTGAAGACTTAAAATGATTGAACGAAGTTAGTTATCAATTATCTGCTATATTATCATATTCTCTGATGTTTTGGCATTTGATAATGTTCACATAATTATGCTAATTAGGGTTATGCATTTTTTAGTTCTTAATTGTATTATCTGTTTGTGGGTCCGAATTCTTTTCCTTTTCTCTTATTGTAACTAGTACATGGCTATGGATGTGCAGATTTCAACTTTTGTAGAATTAAAAATGTCCTTTTGTTTACTCTCAAAGGAGATGTGCCCAACATTATGTAGCCTTTTTGTTTATAAATTTTCCATCATTCAATATGGAAATGATTTTTGGAGTTTTAAATGTTAGTTCATGTGATTTCAGGTTCATGCTATTGAAAAAACTTCTTCAATGAGCGAGTTGAATGAAATACTTCTTGGGCAGGTATCCTAAAGTTTCCCCAATCATATTATTAGACATTCTTGTTATCATCCTCATCATCACCTTCATCATCTAGTGAAGTGAACAGATACAAGCTAATGTTTACTTTATCTTACCTTCTTAACGAAACTGGATGATGAAGGGGATGATGGGAAGCAGCATGGAGAGCGATTCAGAATGACAATGAAGGATGGATGGGGGCTTTCCGTCGGATTCTTATTTCTCTTCTTTTTTCTTTTTTTCCTTTGATCTGATTGGGGAGTTAGGTGTTTTGGTTCACTTTCTTCTTATTTTTTGTGTTAAATGGGGGAGGGAGTGGTGAGAGATAGAGAGAGAGAAGAGAGTAATATTATTTTGTGGCTTTGTATACAAAGTAGTAATTAATTTTTTGGTTGAAAATTCTGAATACAATTTTTGGGGGTAATATTAAAATATCATTTGTGGGTAATGGTGATTGGTGAATGGGAAAGTGAATTAATGATGCATTTGTTATTTGAATGTAAGTTATTATTTCATATTAGTGTTATTCAGTTTTATTATATGTATTTTTTTAGTTTAATCATATAAATTAGCACAATTTCCAAAAAAAAAAAAGGGATATCACGGCGTTTTTTAAAAAACGCCACTTCAAACCTTAAATATTAACAGTTAGATTTTTGAAAAAAGATATGACGGCGTTTAAAAAATGTCGCTAAAAAAGATAAGACGGCGTTTCAAAAATGTCGCTAAATATCATAATGACGTCATGATACTGTCAAGTAAGACATTTGGCGGCGTTTTTAAACGCCGCCTATACTAATATAACGACGTTTTTAAAATGTCATAAAGTTATAGCGACGGACGCGTCCTCGGCGCTTGGTGTAAGCGTCGCAAAAAGAATTAGCGGCGTTTTTGACACTTATAGCAGCGTTTTTTAAACGCCGCTAAAAGCTGAATTTCCTGCAGTGGAACCACCGGCATCAGTGTCGGTTTCAGTTTCCTTGGCCGTGACTTCTACAACGCCCTTGCCAGTAAGTATCATTATTATTATTACCGTCATTACAGTTATTTTCATACTCCTTGTCTAACTGCTTTTTTCATTCATTTATTTATTTCTTTTCGTTTGCTGCCCATTGAACTGCCAAAACATGTATCTGAATTCTTAATTCATCATTGATTTTGTTTCAATCCCATGAAAAGACAAAGACCAAGAACAGTTCACCAAGCAACTGTTGTACTACCTCGGTGCTTTTGCTGGTGGAATTCCGGTGAGCAAATTGCTCTACTTTCTTAGGTATTGCTCACTTAAGACTCTTGCTTCATGGTTATTGGTAAACACCAATATTAGGATAAAATACACCTATTATGCATTCAGTGTTCACTTTGGTTATCAAACTTTTAATTTTGTCAATTTCATCCATCAAATTTTCCAATTCGAGTCAAATTAGTCCAATTTAAAAGATGTCATATAAATCATAAACAAAACAGTAATAAAATATCCATATGATCTGCAAAGTATGCGTTTCATGTCCATTTGGTCCACAGAGTTTCAATTTTATCAATTTCATCCATAAACATTGTAATGGAGAGAACAAAACACAAGATGAAAAAAACATGAGTTTCAATTTTATCAATTCCGTTGTGTGTCACTTTATGGACCAAAGTGACACAAAACGCATATTTTAAGGACTATAGTTGTTTTTTTATTACTATTTCATTAATGATTTAGATGGACGTACGAAATTGGGAAATTTTTAACTCAAATTGAAAATTTTAGAGACAAAATTAAGACTTGGAAGGAGGACCAAATGACACAAAATGCATATTTTAGGGACCATGAATATATTTTATCCAACAGAGTTATTATGTTGAAATCATTAGGTGAATATAGCATACCCTGAACAACCTTAAAAAAAGAAAAGTTCTTTATGAACAACCTAAACATGCTATCCATTCTTGGCTTTTGACCTTTGTTATTGTTTTGTTTTCGATAAATACGTGGAAAATTTTGTGTTTTCTTTTACTTCTTGATTATGTGTAGAGATAGATCTACATGTCTTTTCTTTGGTTTAATATTTTTTAGTTTGAGCTGTCAATCCTGTTCATACAATTGTTTTGCAGATTTTTGTGTTGAGAGAGACTATGCCAGAGAAACTCTTTCTTTGAGGTGGAGGTCTTGGATGACAAACTATTACATAGATCGCTATCTAAAGAATAGGACATTCTACAAAATACAGTCCCAATCAATAATTGACAATCCAGATCAGAGGATTGTTGATGATCTAAGTTCCTTCACTGGGACAGCACTTTCATTCTCTTTGACACTATTCAATGCTGCAGTAGATTTGGTATCATTTAGCAACATCCTGTATGGTATCTATCCGCCATTGTTTGCTGTACTTCTTGTTTATTCAATCGGTGGAACAGCAATTAGTGTTTTCCTTGGGAGGGTGAGTTCCTCTTCTTTGACGGTCATATTTTTGAAACTGCAGTGAAGCTTCTTGGAATAAAAGGTGGTATTTACTCCAAATGATGGGAAATGTTTCATCTGCAATTTCAGGGACTAGTAACCTTAAACTTTTTGCAAGAGAAAAAAGAAGCAGATTTCCGTTTTGGACTGGTACGTCTTCGAGAAAATGCTGAATCAATTGCATTCTACGCTGGTGAGGACAATGAAAAGCAACTACTGCTGCAACGCTTCAGAAGTGCTTTTGAAAACTTAACTGTATGGATTACCTTCTATTCTTTTGATGTTTCTGCTTCCATAATAAACACCTTTATATAGAAGGTTTATTGCTATTATATTCCTTGTTGATGATCTATTCTATTGTCTCTCTCTCTCTCTCACCAAC